GCTTGCAGTGGTCGAGATGCTGGATGTCTTTCACCTCCATAATTTGCACGTTTTGTGACGTGCTTCCATACGGCCTACGATCTAACGCTTATCTCCTTTTCACTGTCATAGCCAGTTGTCACTAAGCTAACGACAGCACATCCGCAGACAGCTTGCAATTCAGATGCGAGCAGTTGGAATCGAAGTATGGCGAAACCTTGTATTTACTGCAAATTCCACTGAGCACGGTACTGATGCTGTTATAATTCGGTAAAACCAGCTGAAAAAGTACGGTAAGTTGTTGATTTTAAAACAGCGAAGACTACATGATGGGTTTATGCTAGAGCGCACGAAACTTACGGCCATGCTGTCGGACGCGCAGGCTGCAGTTGTTGCCACCTACCGTGTACATGATTCTTGTTTACACAAAAAAGGTGTAGCCCTTAAATGAACGGTACCTTGTTAACTTAAAACATCGAAATGACACTATCCCGATTAACAGTATGAAATACAGATTTCATCACCTGACTTCGTCGGTTAACGACTCGTTAGAAGCGAAAGTCGCTTTTTCTTGAAACGCTGAAAGTCAAAAGTTACGAGAAACCCATCTGGCTGCATAGATTTACAACCACAACTAGATGAAGCAACGGAGGCAGTAAACCAATGTAAATATTTTAGCCACAGACATTTAAGTAGAAAGTCCTCCGTTGCTTCGTACGCCTCGGCATTTTCATACGTGTAAGGAATAAAACTTTCTCGCTTTGATGCGGAAGAAAGCTTAATAACTGGAAAATGTAAGGAACGGCTACATTCTTTCCAGACAAAGGCAGATCACATATAACTGAAGATAAAAAAAGTGATTTGCTCTGTTTGAAAAATTGACTGAAGATAAGTCATGAGGTTTTCATGCCAATCCGCTCGGAGCAGTTAGTTACTTTGGTTTTCCGTTCTGCAATAAACTGTCGAAGAGTTTAGATTACTGCCGGCACAACATACCGCAGACGTTTCAGGATCGCAAATGACTAAGGAATTGAATTGCTATAGATACAAGTGGAAGGGCTCATTCATGCATCTGTAAACTGTTCCGAAGCACAACACCACAGAAAAGAAGGTCCGTTGTTTAATGCAGTAATTAAGCCACTGAAAGAAAACTTATTCAAGTCTCTGAGGTAGAACACACTCGAAATCCTACGTTGGAGCCTCCGGTTACGTCACTCTCTTCTCCTTCTGAGATAGGTAAATAATTTCCAGTTCGTGGCAAACAGGCAAAAGATAACGCGCTATAGTGGTCACCTAGCTATACATATGGCTTTTAAAACAACAGCCACTCTTGAATGACAGTGCAAAATGGATATGATGAAACAGACTTTCTGATACAAATTGCTGGCTAACGCCTTTCGACAGAGTCCAGAGTTCATATGTGCAAGAAAGTCTTGGTGCACACCAGCTGCGTCTCCAAACTACGAAATCACAGCTGTGACTATTTGCGATATTATGCGAGTGTTTCCAGAACGGAAGGCAAAGAAGCTACTACTTGCTCAACCGACCAACCGCAGACCCCCCGAGGAAAGGTAAAAACGGCCATGAGCAAGTGCTTCGACGGAATCTTCACCAAATTCCGGTTATCTTCTACCGAAGCTCAGACGCTGTTGTCGGTTGGAAACCGCTGGAGACATCCTGTGACGATGATTTATCTCCGCGACCCGAAAGGATAAGTGGTCATCGAAAGTGACTAACTGAAAAATTCACTGTGCAGTGGGCATTCATATACCTCCATAAAAGCATTAAAAGGATTTTTAACACCGCGCTAGACAAAAGGTTTTACACAAAAGGCAGTTTCATAAAACTTGGCATGAACGTTTTGAAATGTTTCACTGTCCATCGTCAGCAGGGCTTGCACGAGTCGTCAGAGATGCTAAAGTACGTAGAAAGTTTGTGAGTACGTATACAGGGCATTGCTGAAGAAGAACAGTGAAATACTGTTCGAAACGTTCGGGACCTTTCGTAAAACTGTGCATTTGCTAAACACGCTTTGATTTGCGTAGAGTTACAAACCATTTCAAAGCTGTTATAGAAACCTAACGATAAGATCATCGTTGTATCTCTCCTTTCCGTACTAAATAAAACAAAACCTGCTGACAGTATATTTCAGGAGATAGCTACATTTACCTCCGTGCCAGTCCGCATCAGTTGAACCCCCACGCTTCGTTAATCAGCGAATATTTCATCCCGCCTCACGGATCGTTCCTACAGTTTCGAATCGCAATGAATCACCATCATGACGGCCGCATCGCGGTCTACAGCGAGAAAGAGACGAACACGCGGGAAACGGTTTGGCAGATGACCGGCAATGCCAAGCTCGGAGGGCCGAATTGGCAGAAAGTCCGGATACCGCTACCGCTCTCTAAAACAGCAACGAAAGTAAAACAGTTCTGTTTGTCAGATCAGTTACCACAGCCTGTTTAGCTAGTCATCTCCGCAAATCTTCTGAAGGTCAATCAATACGTTGCACTGGATGATTTTCAAATAGTTAACGGCGAAGGCCAGGCGATGGGATGCGGTAAGTGTGAAGGAAATAAGAATAAACTGTTTTTAACGACCGTTCTAGTCGTGGAACCGAGAACACGTTCGTGGAAAGAGTGGAAGCTCACCGATGGATTGGAACAGAATTTTTCCGGTAACAACTTGCGAGATGATCCAACGAACCAGAAATTGCTCAGCGCCGTAAACTGGACTTCGCTTGATGCTACTCTCGGAGGGAAGAGCGCTGAACTGTACAGTTTCTTGAGAAAATTTAGACAAGCAACTGGCAGCAAGCTGAACGTGCAAGAGCGAGTGGCGATGGGAAAGGACATAATGCGCATGATAGCACAAAAGCATCAGTCGAAAGAACATTCGGTCATGACTGATTACGAAGCCATGCTAAAAAAAATCATGCCTGAAACAGGAACGTGGAAGCCTCTAACAGTGGCACAAGAAGTGAACAAAGCAAACGCAACGACAAACCCTGATCCATGGGGAGTAAATCAGCTTTTATATGAAATGGCGAAGGACCTCTTGAATCTATCAGGAATATTCCCACAGGAAGCTTCGAACATGGACTCTGCTCATGAAACCGGCGAAAATTGGCTCCGGAAAATTTTCGGCTAACGTAAACAGTCAGAACATACAATGTATGAAACGAAAGGCGAAGCACTGTAACGTTGCAGGACAGCTGTAGAAACCGGAACTGCCGCTTACTCGCGAGAACGCTAAGCTGTATATTGCTGTCATGCAGCGTAAAACGAACAATTATAACGAGTACAAATACGCTGACAACATTAAATTCGCTAAATTCATTAAAAAAAATATTCGGTTTTGGAAACTGCTGAAAATGTCAGTTTTCCGGCATTATCAAATTTTGCAGAACAGAGGAAAGGCAGACCGCCTGCATTTTTCATCGTCCAATGGCAAAATGGCTGGTTCTCTTATTTTCAGAGAAGCTGACAACTGAAATATTTTAGACGTAAGCTGACGAAGCCGAGAGCCCTGCAAAAAATTACGAGACAACTCGTGACCAAAACTTAGTCACTGCTGGTGGTTGAAAGGCATAAGGAGCCAGAGACTGCAAATCACTGAAACTCTCACATGAATCAGTGTAAGCAGAAGACCTCAAAGTCACTGCAACGATTCTAAACACTTTCACAAGACCATTGACTACTCAATCAGCATCAGGGCTAGTTTTAAATTTTCACAAAACCAACTGCTGAACAGATGCAAAAACAGACCTGAAATGTTCTTATTACTGCTACTGCTTACTGGTTTTCACAGAAAGCCTTAACTGCTCGTACTTTCCTAGTTTACACTGTTAATCTAAAAGATATCACATTAACAGTGTAACTTTTACTTGATTGAAAAGCTGGCAAAAAAGGCATGTTTAACCACTGAAATTAAACTCTGTGCATCAAAATAAGGACTAAGATGCTTGCTTATAAATATTTAATTGCGAAATTCATGTAACAAATCGTGAAGATTTTAAGTGAAAGAAATATCAATTATCAGTAACGCAGTAGAATCAACGATAAATTAACATAAACTAATATGATACAGTCTAGAACACTGATTGATTTTCAGAACGACGATACCTCGTTCTGACGGAATAACAAGATTTTGTATAAGAGGTGTTCAATACAGAATTAACAACATGATGAATGACAGGAGACCAGCTTACAGTGAGAAAAAGACCCAATTAACCATAACACATAATTTAAAAACATCACCACCAGTACATCGGGCAACATATGAGTTGGAGAATGGCATGACCTTGACAGCGGCCCAACGCGAGGTGGTCATTTGACGAATGCATCAAACACGGCCCACATCAGTTCACAGCTGTGCGGCTTGGCACTTTCGGCTTCGTAACTAAGTTCGAGGAGCGTTCGGACGTGTCGCATGGCGACCTGATAGTCTTCGTCAGACAGGGGAATAAACGAGTTCTCGAGCACGTCCGACGCGTGCGCCAAAATTACTAACGACAACAAGCGCTTGTCCATCCGCTGGATATCGTTGTTCCATCGTGACAGAACCGCCTCCTGTACTTTCTGAAACGAGCAACACAAGAGTTCACTGCCACAACAATTAATAAGTCGACAAAGAAACCTTCATCAGCTTCAACTTTATTTGACTGTTCTGCACGGGATGCGTCGTGATGTCGAATAACACAAAGTTCTGCTTTTCGGTCGTCAGAACGCCTTTCTCGGTCAGGTTCTTGGCAAGGCGCTCTCGTACGTTTTTCAGCTGAAAACGCAACTTCATCGGATTCCATGATTCTCCTTAAAGCAGGAAGTAAACAAAAACTTGTGAAACTGGTGAAAAGTCGCATGTACATGTATGCAGAGAAAAGAAACGAAACAGTAAAACTCAGCTTACAACAGAAATTCTTTAAAGGACGTTTCGATTGTGGGTGCACATTTGATCAACTGAATATTTTCCTGATATGAATAAGACAACCAAAACGAAAAAATATGGTCAAATTTGTACGTACTCGAAAACGTTTCACTACTCGTTCTGGAATATCAACAGGCTTGACTATCAATCCTGAAGAAGCTGATGGATTCCGTCACGAAACATGTCGAATGAAAGTAAACGCTCACCTCACCTTCACCGTTTGCACCTTCTAATCATCTACCAAATTATTCAGAAATTTACAACCCGCACTGTCCATGCGACAGCCGCGCTATGCTGTCGTTCTATCTATGTCACCTCTTAACGAGAAACTAATGGGAACGCGGCGTTGACTTGCTGTTGCTCTTTCGCTCATCTGGGATTCATTTTTCACAATACGCACAAATGTTTCCTAAGACTGCCGTTTTTTAGAAGTTTCATGTCAAAAACCGAAATACCGGCTTAGAAGTTAAAACTCACGTCACCAGGAGTTTCACCAGTTCCAGAATTACAGGTATCACTAATGGCAATAAGTACCCCCACGAAATTTAATGACTGTGCAGAACGGTAGAAAAGGCCATCCTTATCGCTGTACGTAGATTCGCAAAACAAAGCCTACCGTAGAAAAACGTCAGAAAATGCAGTTACAGTGAACGGGAGGACGCTGTAGTCACATAAGTCACATGTTAGCATAACACTGCACTTCTGTAAATGTATTTGAACCTAGCATCATAGGTTAGAAGGTGTTGTACGACTGATACGTTTCTTCAGGAATACTCAAGAGACTTCAAAAACATGAACCTAAAAAATGTACACCAGTTTCCGATATAGACTTCGTAAAAGAAAACACACAAAAAGTGCTTTAAGAGGCGCCATTAAATTTGCTGCGACTACTTTACACCTAATCGAACTCGTTGTGTGAAGAATTCAGATAGAATCTTTCTCACTCCATGATGAGAACCTCCACAAATAGTGAGGTATTATGAACTATGATACCATATCCCTATCCAGCGTTCGCTCAACCCAGCGATAATCCTGAAATGCATTTTGGAACAAAAAGTTGCTTTATAATGGCTGAAATTACAGTTGTCATTAAATCGCTGAAAAGTGGCAAAGCTGGCAAAGAAATAGATGGTAAAGAAATTGTGATGATATTTTATGGCTGATTCCGGTATGCCAGGTTATTACATGGAGTAACAATTCGGTGTGGCTAA